TTAAAACACATGACCTTTTAATGATAATGTTATACGTTTGAACATCCATACTTAGGAATTCTGCACGTATTCACATATACAAAAACAAATGGAAATTCTTTCAAAAATATTCGGGGTTGTCATATTGTAATAAGATTTACAATAGTAAATAGAGTTTCACATAATAATAATATTTTCTAAGAGTTGTTACATTGAAACTGAATTTTAAGAGATTTAACAACATTATAAATTATTCAATTTAAAATTGTAAAAAAATGAAAACAAATCTTGTAAAATTCATTTTTCATCGAAAATATTCCTTTTCTTCAGATAATACTGTCTTTAATATATATTATTCATAAAATCAATTAAATAAATAATATCTTAGTTTTATTGCGTTTTTTTATTTTTCGATTCAGAACAGATTTTCCGTAAGTGATATAAATTCTTCAAAGAATTTTGCTTTTAAAAAATATAGTCACTAAAAATTATCACGTTGAATTTCTCAAGTTTTCATAAAATTAAGTAAGGAGGTGAAACACATACAAAAATTTTTTACCAAGATTTTCTAATAAAAAAATGAAAAAGTAATTTCATTCATTTGTGAATAAGTTCTGAAAATTTAATTAAAATGCAACTATTAATTGGGTTTTGCAAGAATTTCCAAATTAATGTGTCTGTCACCGCAAAAAAGAGGCTAAACTTTGTTATACTGAAAGTTATTACAACCGCTGACGCAACCCCCCCCCCATAAAAAAAAAACAAACAAACAATTTTTTAAGCAAAATTTCGAATGTTTTAAAAAGGAGTAAAAAAATTAATTAAATATTCAAAAAATACTTTGACCCTTCCTGTTAATAATAACATAAAAATTTTGACGATAAAACTGTATTCCGATTAAGTTTGGAGCAGGTTTTCATCATGGTATGCTGATTTTTTAGCACGATTTTGTGGAGGTACCTAATTTATTGGAATGGTTGGTAAAACATCGGCTAATAATTGCTAACTGATTGAACTTTAAAAATAGTAAATGGTAAGGATTTCCATATAGTTGGCTCACATATTTAATAATTTAATAAATATTTGCAAATAAAAATTGTTTTTGTATTTAGTTCTTTATAAATTAGTAAATCATAAAAATAGCATTAGTTATAATTTTATTATTTTTTACAAACTTATAAATATAAAATTATTCTTGTATTCTGCATAGGGAAATGCCGAAGATACAGGGACACTTAAAATTTAAATTTTAAATATTTGGCGTCCGATGCATAATCTAACTGACCTCATTTAATTTTCTGTCGCTTGCATCTCGACGAACAAATCTTAAATTTAAATTTTAAGCTATGCGTCCGCGTCTCTTCGGCGTTTGTAAAATGGTAACCGATTTTTGCTCTATTTTGTCTGCTCCCCCATTATATGAGAACAATGAAAATCAAATTCTTTGCTTCAATCAAATATTAATCGGCTCCTCCTGATGGCTTGTATGGGTAAATTCATTACTGAGATAAACAACCACAAATATGGTAATAATAATAATAATAATAATAAGAATAATAATAATAATAAGTGGCTACGTAGTGCAGGGTTAAAAGCTGAAACCGAAGGTTTTATTCTTGCTGCACAGGACCAATCCTTGCTAAATTACCAAGCACACATACTGAAAAATTGTGTTAGACCAAAAAATCAGATTCTGTGATAAATATCGAAAAACAATTGACCATCTTGTATCGGATTGCGCGGTATTGGCACACATTTAATATAAAACACGCCATGACAGAATGGACCAATATCTGCACTGGAAAATCTGCAACATTTACGGAAAGGAAACTTCAAGAAATTGGTGTGAGCATCACCCAGACCTGGTTACAGAGATAGGACATGTAACAATCATATGGGACTTTACAATACACACAGACAAAACAATCAAAGCTAATCGCCCTGTCATTGTGATTAGAGAGCACAAAGACAAAATGTGCCTCCTTATCGACATGGCAGTCCCTGCAGACTGCAATGTATCTTTGAAGATCTTCAAAAAGCTATCAAAATACAAAGACCTTGAAATCGAAATCTCAAAAATATGACACATGAGAACATCAACAATTCTATTTGTAGTTGGAGCCATAGGATTGATTGGAAAAGATTCCAATAGACTCGTTGAAGGAATCCCTGGTAGCCCATGCCTTAAAGAAATACAGAAAATTGTATTTAAAAGTACAGACGACACCTTACGAAGGGCTTTATCTATGTAAAATATGTGCGATTTTTTTTTCAAAACTGCTCAATGGAAAATGTCATGATGCCATTTCTGACCTTAGGTCTCCGGTCGGGACCCGGAAAGAAATGTGAAAACGCCAGAAATCAAAGGAAATAAAAACAACAATAATAATAACGATGTAACTATCCTCTGGGACATGCCAATTCAAACTAAAAGGGAAATAAAAGACCTGATATTATCATAAAAGCTAAGAAATTCAGGAAGTGTATGCTTATTGACATTAGCAGTACCATCTGAGAGAAACTCCTCCATGAAAATTATCGAGAAATAAAAAGATTTGGAGATCGAGATTAACAGGATGTGGTGAATGAAGACTGAGACTGTACCAATAGTAATCGGAGCACTGGGCCTCGCGAGAAAAGGAATGGACAATTTTATTAACAATGTCCCAGGTAACATCAACATACAAGTTGCCCAGAAGATCGTCCTACTAGGAACATCCCATATATTAAGAAAAGTGCTATCAATTAAATGACAATTCTCCTATAGAGCATAAGGACCATAGTTTGAACCCGGCACTACAGGATACAAAGCAGGAAACATAACATACACAAATAATAATAATAATAAAATAATAATCAGTGGTTACGTGGTGCAAGGTTAAAAGCTGAAACCGATTTTATTCTTGCTGCACAGAACCAATTCTTGGTAACTAGAAAATACCAAGAATACACACTGAAAAATTCTGTTATCCTAAAATGCAGATTCTATGATAAATATCAAGAAATAATTAACCATCTTGGATTAGGTTGCACAGTGTTAGCACCGATTGAAACCCGGCATGATAGTGTGGGCTAATATCTGCACTGGAAAATTTGCAACATTTAAGGGAAGAAGACTGCAAGAAACTGGTATGAACATCATCCAGACACGGTTATGGAGATGGGGACAATTTGATGGGACTTTACAATACAGACAGAGAAAACAATCAAAGCTAATCGCCCAGACATCGTGATCATAGATTACAACAACAGAGAATGTGCTTTTTATTGACATAGCAGTTCTTGCAAATTGTAATTTATATTTGAAGATCTTAAAAAAAAATAAATCAAAATACAAGGATCTTGAAATGGAAATCTCAAAAATGTGGTAATTGAGGACATAAGTAATTCCAGTTGTATTTGGAACATTCGGATTGATTGGAAAAGATTCCGATAGACTCATTGAAGTAGTGGTAGTCAGTTATGTGCCATGCGTGATACACGCTTAGGCGATCATGTATCTTTCGATACATGACTGACGAGGCAGATTTTTTTCCCGCAGTAGGTTGCTATTTCTTTCTGCGGTAGACCAGTTGCTATCCAAGGCTATAGAACCAGTCTGTCATGCTATTTACCTATAGATGGGGGGAGAGCGGATTCATACCTTTTCCAAGGGTATTAGCACCTAAGTGAATGGATTCGATTGGAATTCGAACTCGGCTCTGTAAAGAAATACAAAAAGCTGTACTTTATGTACAATGTGTGTGATCTTAGATTTTTTTTTTAAGTGATCAGTGGAAAATGCCATGAAGTCATTTCTGACCTTAGGTCTCTAGTTGGGACCCGGAAGGAAATGTATATACAAAAGAAATAAAAGGTAATAATAATAATAATAATAATAATGATACTAATAATAATAACAAATTTAAGAAGAAAACAACAACATCTTAATCGTTAAATTATTTGTAGATAAAGGAAAAAATGTGTTAGATTAAATTATATCTGACACAGGGCCATCGAGTATATATCTTATTTCTAAAATGTCATATTTCTCACTTAATGTAACTCAGCCGTGTACGATAGACGTGAACTCCACATCAACGCCATCTCTATAAAATCGAGATCGCCATCATCACTATATAAAATGAACATTATCACCATCGTTATCATCTTTCTAAAATCAAGATCATAAACATTATTGCCACTATCTCAATAAAATCGAAATTATCATCATCATTATCATCTCTATAAAAACAAAAGTATCATCATCATAATCATCAGTATATCTATACGATCGTGATCACCATCACCACCATCTCTACCATCAGCATCATCATAATTTTCATAATCACTACCATCATCACTATAAGAACAAAATGAACACCATCATTGCCCTGATTTATATAAAATAAAGATCATCACCATCATCGCTATATAACCAAGATCATCATCATCTCTGCAAGCATCATTGTTACCATCGTCTTTGTTATATCATCATCATCATCATCATCATCATCATCATCGTAATCATCTTTATAAAATCAAAATGATCATCATTGTCATCATATATCTAAAGGCAAAATCGTATTCATCATCATCATCTCTATAAAATCATCATTATAATCATCAGCATATCTATACGATCGAGACCACCATACCATGATCAGCATAATCATAATTTTCATCATCACTACATCATCACTATAAGTACAAAATGAACATCATCATCATCATTGCTATATAATCAAGATCATCATCGTTATCATCAGAATCTCTATAATCGAGATCATCATCGCTATATCATCATCATCATCATCATTGCAATCATCTCTATAAAATCAAAATTAATCTCGTCGCCATGTAGCTAAAGTCAAGATCATCATCATCATTATCATCATCCAAAATGAAATCAAAGGCAACCCACGCAAAAATAGGACACCTCCAAATAGCAATAACGAAAGAAATATTTAAATTGACATAATCGTGGCTATCCTCAACACCTCCATTAGGAAGTGGGTAAGAAGGTGTAGCGCCTGGAGTAGTTAAAGAAGGAGGATGGAAACCTCTAAAAGTGGATGGAGGGTAATGTTGTCAGTAGGAGTAAAAGTTTCTGAAAAGGCATCAAGAGAATGAAACAACAGCAAAAAAAAAAAAAAAAGAATATGGCCGACGGTGAGTGAAAGGCAAAAAGGGTAAATAAAACTGACGGCAAAATGAAATAAATACGTAAATAAATAAAAAAAAACAACAACTCTTATTTCAAGTTATTTGCTTCAACTTAATAAATAATAATAATGCAAAGAAATAACAACACAATAAAGGGGACGTGAAAACACTGGAAATTATAAATCGTTTCAACTCAGGTCGATTAATTAGTGTGTGTGTGTGTGTGTGTGTGTGTGTGTGCGTGTGTGTGCGCGTATTCGCGCGTATGTGTGTGCGCATGCGCGTGTAGGACAGGTCAGTGGGGGTGAAGTGCAGATAAAGGGTGAAAATAAAAGAGGAAGAGTAAGGGGGCTGAAAAAAAGAAAGAAAGAAAGAAAGAAAACAAAGAGGGTGAATGACAAAGAAACTAGAGAAACGTCTATGCTTGCTTGAAAGAAAGAAAGCGAAAAAGAAAGAAAGAAAGAAAGAAAGAAAGAAAGAAAGAAAGAAAGAAAGAAAGATATAGAAATAGTACAGACATATAAATGCCTGGAAGAAAGAAGGAATATAAAAGAAAGAAAGAGGGAAAGCAAGAATATAAAAGAAAGAAAAAAGAAAGGAGTAAAAAACGAAAAGAAAGATGGTAAGAAACAAAATGTGAGGGAGAATGACAGAAATAATAATCATGCAAATGCCTGAAAGAAAGAAAGAAAGAAAGAAAGAAAGAAAGAAGCGAAGGAGAATAACAGAGGAACAGAATAAACATCTACATGTTTGAAAGAAAGAAAGAAAGAACAAACGAACGAACGCACGCATTTAGTCACGTACGCAAGCTGTTGTTGTTATGCTTTTTAGGTAATTGTTCATTATCAATGATATGCTGTTTTTGTAAAATAACAAAAAGAGCAAAAATATAAAACAGTAATATCCTTCGAAATTGTAAAAAGAAATAATTGCGAATTTTTAAATCTTAAGGTAGAAAATGGCGATTGGAAACGAAAATTCTCTCGTAGATGTTTATTTTTCACATATTCTTGCAATTGAGAGTTTCAGGTTGCATAGAAGCTCGTTGCAACATCGATGTTGCCTATTAGCACATTTGCTTGAAGAGTAATACATTGTAGAAAATATTTTTTCGCGATTATTAAAGTTCACCAGAGAATGGAATGTGGACGAGAAAAAGAAAAAAAATTGTATCTAAAATGTTTGTGTTTGTTTTTCATTGGTTAAGGAGATTTCACGAACTTTTGTTTTGTCAAGTAGCGTTCGTGTGTATAATTTATGTGTGCAAGTGTATCATAATTCTAGTTTGTCTATGCGAGATTCGGATGATAATATATTCGCGCGCGCGCGCGTGTGTGTGTGTGTGATAGGCATTTTTATTTAAGTCTGATGGCTGTCCGTATGTTGGTTTGGGGGACGTTTTTGCGTAACACCAGTTGTAGTGGTAGTAGTAGTAGTAGGTTGACATATCTTACATTCTTTAAATATGGATTTTATAAAAGTTGTTGGCGTAATAAAGTGTTTGACGTGTAATTTATCAGAATTCCCTCGAAGTATTTCCTTCAGAAATAATCATTTTTTAAAATTGCGGTTGCATTTATGAAATCAAAGTTAAGGCCAGTTTCGTATCTGTGTATTATAAGGCATTTTAAAGGGTTATCTCAATGCAGGTCACTTTTATACCCTAGATGCGAGCTTTTAGATTCCGAGATGTCTCGCCAATGTAACTTTCTACATTACAAGTGGTTTTTTCATAAATCCCGGCATCATATGTGGTGTTGAATCTATCTTTCTTTCTAATTATATCGCCGATTGTTTTGGAGATGGTGGTAAAGACCTTAGTTGAGGATAACTAATTTATTTTCAAATATTGTAGATAGATTATTGGAGGGTAAGATTATGAATTTTGTGTTATTGATGTTAGAAATTCCATTTGCTGATGTCTACATTTTTTGGATTTGTGGGTGCTCTTTTTCTAGCATTGGGGATAAAATGATGTGAGTAGTGAAGAGTCTAAATGTTTTTTTCAATGTATTTCTCTTCTTCATCAGGGTATTCTGGGATACATATTCTAAGGCATCCGAGGTAAAATTCTATGATACGTCCTGATTTTATTTTTTTGGCTGTAGTGTGAATAGAAATAGATTAAATCATCATCATCATCATCATCATCATCATCGCAATCATCTCTATAAAATCAAAATTAATCTCGTCGCGATCATGTATCTAAAGTCAAGATCATCATCATCATCATCAACATCATCCAAAATGAAATCAAAGGCAACCCATGCAAAAATATGACACCCCCAAATAGCAATAACGAAAGAAATATTTAAATTGACATAATCATGGCTATCCTCAACACTTCCATTAGGAAGTGGGTAAGAAGGTGTAGCGCCCGGAGTAGTTAAAGAAGGAGGATGGAAACCTCTAAAAGTGGATGGAGGGTAATGTGTCAGTAGGAGTAAAAGTTTCTGAAGAGGCGACAAGAGAATGAAACAACAGCAAAAAAAAAAACAAATAAATAAAAAAATAAAAATAAAAATATGGCCGACGTTGAGTGAAAGGCAAAAAGGGTAAATAAAACTGACGGCAAAATGAAATAAGTAAGTAAATTCAAAAAAACAATTCTTTCTTTCTTCTTTTTTTCTTTTATATTCTTTCTTTCTCTCTTTCTTTCCTTTATATTCTTTCTTCCAGGCATTTATATATGTACTATTTCTAAATCGTTCTCCCACCTTTTTCTTTCTTTTTTTCTTTCTTTCTTTCTTTGAAATCTAGTTTGTTATTGTTACGTATTAATAAGATGGCGAGGAAAGGTAGAGTTGTCTATTTCACATGCGCATGTCTGTGTTGTGCGTGTGTGACGTGTGCTTGTGTAAATTTAATGTACACATAACTACACGCACACATAAATTGTGATGTGTCCGAAATAAAACATTAGAATAATACATCCCACCGCACTCAGCCTGGACAATCTCTACCCTGAACTGTGCAATAAAATCGTAACTTTAGGAAGAAAAGTTCGTTTTTAAAACCCGAAAAAAAGGTTAATTCTAATGTTTTGTTGCAGAGGAAAAGGTGAAATAAGTTTGAAAAGTGATCAGAAGTCTTTTTCATTGCATAAGGTCTGCTGCGTGTATAAAACTTCACTACTCCACAAATTTTTGATGTATGGCGCAAGGCTTACAAGGCAATCAAAAGATGACAACATACATAAACCAATGACAAAATATTTATACAGGAATAATACAATTATTAAGAATAAACTTCTCAGAATATTTTGAGTTAAGCTGAATTTCAAAGTTCAGTAATGTTAATTGAACGAATAAAAGTATTTTAAAATGTTCCTTCAAAATTTGGTGCAGAAATTTTACAATGCAAAAATAAGAGTTGCTTACCCTTGACTAGGAAATTAATTATTTGAAAACTGTTCTTTGAAAGAAAGAATTTTTATCAGGTCTCACAATGAAAGAGAGTTCGTTTTTTTTAGAAGAAATGTTCTTTGTAAATTAGTTAAATGTTTTGTGTAATATGAATATTATGAGAATGTGTTTGGGAAAATAGAATTTTGAATATTTACTTGATGTTTCAAGAAGTTTCTGTTTGATACTAAATAAAATTTAGTTTTTGTATTTCTGAAAATAATTAAAATAAATCTTGCTGCTAGAAGAAAGTTTTCAACAAGAACAAATTTTGTTAAATAGAACTGAGTGAGAAAGTTTCTTGAATTATGTCCTGAGGAGCTGAAAATGTGTTTGGTAAACTTGTAGCTTCAGGAAAAACCTTTTTCTTTAAGTAATTTCTTGCTGGTGAAGAATTGGAAAATGTTAATTTTCTTTAGTGTGGCAACCATGTGTCTGGTTGACTTTTCTTTTGTCTCACTGATAGGATACGTTCGCGCTCCGTATATATTTGGTTGTCTGTCACGTGACAGGCTCCAGGCTGCCGTTTCAAAAATATTGGCGGCAAAACCTGATTGCGTAGGCGTCTTTCATATTTATTGTTATTTAGCCAATCAGCGATTAGAAAAATAGCAAGGGTTGTGTGATCCACTTTTTACACAAAACTTTTCACTTTTTTAAGAAGATATATAGTAATTGCATTGCATTATTTTTTTAACCAATGATTTGCTGAGAAGAATTTGAAAACTGAAGTGAAACGCTAAAGTTTTATTGAATCTTTCAGAAATTATGTCACTGAATAAAAATTAGGTACCAAATAATGACTAATAACATGTTGTATGTAAAAATTATCAATGCAAATGAAATCTGCCTTTTAACAATTAAAGTTATAATGTTGCATAACAAGAATGTCCTCAGAAAAGGTAAACAACATGAAAAGGAGAAAATATTTCTCTGAATAGATTTCAAAGAATTGGTACAATTTTCGAAACAAATATCGTGGTAACAGCGAAGAATAGAACAAGCACACCAGCCGAAGACTTTTTCTTGATGGTCTTTTCAATTCTCGTCTGGTGGGTGTGAAAATTCTACATTGTTTTCTTTCTGGACCAAGGTGACCTGGCTTCCTGAAGCAGCTGTTTGTCGACTGCTGAAATCAAATCTAATCACTACAAACCCTTAAATAATCTACAAGTAGGCTCCAAATACGCTGCTCGGAATTTGGTGGTGGTGGTGGTGGCGTGGCTTTTGGTTTGGGATAAAAAATAAACGCTGTTGAATTCTACTAAAAATATTTTCGGATGAGCGCTCAAGTAGCTTAAATTTTTTATAAAGTAAACTGAACTCCGATGAAGAAAAAATTATTTTCATTTTTATCTCTGAAATGATTATCATTATCGAGAATTAACAAACCTCGGAGCGAATTTTGAAACTAAATTTTACTTACTAGCACGAAAAATGCAGGGGTTCCTATTTGAATCTTACTTTCACGGTTTACCTATTTGAATTTTCTGATGAATCTTAATTCTTCAGTTAATGACTGAATAAGCTCATGGCCAGTTCTACGACAATAATATATTCATAGAAATCCCCCTATCGTATCCTTAAATATTTGAGTTTAAAATAAAATATTGCAATAACAATTATAAGTATAAATACTTATCGTTATTTTAAGAAGTATGTAAAAATGAAAAGATTTGAAATTGGCAACTTTTTCCATTTCACCGAAAATGACGTTAAACATCTTCCCTTTCTTTTATTTTCTCACCGAAGCATCTTTGATATGTCTTTTCCATCGTGTTCCCTATTTCTGCTATCTCAATCAATTTGCCAAATTTGGAGAATTATTCATCTTCTTTGGGAGTAGTCACGGGGGATTGTTTTTCTCTTAACTCCAACCTGCTTCACTTCACATCTCGCTCCGCTACTTCGCACAGGCGTGGCTAAATTCTTCCCATTCGTCCTTCCTTACTAGCATTCAACCTCAGCCCACTTTTCAGGGCATACATAACTGTCTCTGTGACAAATCTAATTTTTCAAACACGTAGGCGGAAGGGCGGAGTTCCATTCCAGACATTAATTTTAATTCTCCGAATCTTTTCTATATTCCTGGAACTATTTCCGCCCAGCGAAAATACAAACCAGATCACCGATGACAGAATTTGTTCTTATAACTTCAACTTTAATCGCACAGTACACCCGACCCGTTAAGAGAAATTTGTTCTCATTTTAATCTTCCGAGCGACAGATAAAATTATTTCCCATTCTGCATTCGTCAACGAAAATATATTTGTTTACCTAAATTCCCAAACAAGAGACAAAGCTGTTTTCCATTTAAAGCTAACGTATCTTTAACGTTTTGGTGTAAAATCTAACAGGCTTTTGTTGTATTCCTTTACTCACGTTTCT